GTGTACGCGCAGCGTCGGCGCGACTCCAACTCCTCCCACCTGCGTGCGGCCAACGAGTCGCTCCAGATGGAGCTCACGGCGCAGCACCTGGGCGGCGGGCAGCTGGAGGCACAGCGGCTGCGTGCCGAGCTCGCGGCGGCGGAGGGGCAGTTGGAAACGACCAGGACGGGGGGCGCGGGCAGGGAGGGAGAATAGACGGTGGCAGGGGGGAAGGGGGCGGCAGGGCGCGGGGCGCGGGGGAGGGGGGACGGGGTGGCAGGGCGCAGGAGGGAGGGGGGGGACAGGGCGTGCGGAGCAGGGCGCGGGGGGGAGGGCGTAGGGAGGGGGGGCGGCCGGAGGGGAGCCTCGATGACGATGGGGGCCGTGGCAGAGGGGCGGTCGGTTTGGCCGCGCCCGAGGGGGCGGGCGCACGGTTACCAGTGCATCTTTCCCCCTCGGCCCATCCTAGGCCACTTTCGCTGGCCACGCCCCGCTCGAAAGGTGTCGACATGGTTTTCCAAAACGCTTGCATCCTTATTTGGCATCCTTATTATACGCTTTGACTGCGTTGCAAGCTCAAGACTCACCAACGATGTTGCAATCGACCCTCCCTCCAAGTTTATTCTCCATGTGTTCCCCATTGGAAGACAACCGTCTGACAATCCTACAGTGTGTCCGAAAACCATGTCAACGCGACCGCTGCGTCTTGACAGTGCCGAATTCGGCCAGAACGCCGTTTTCTGAACCTCGACACCGCGACTCAACATTATTGTTGCGTCCTGACAGCACTGCAGAACACCATTCTTGGGACATCTTATCATCCCTACGAATATTCTAGACCGCTGCAAGAGTTTAAGACGAGTGCGTGCGGCGCAAAGGCGAGGGCAACAGTATGGAGACGGCCCGCCTTCCATCAGTACAACGGCTGCGGCGCTGAGGCGAGAGACACCTTTTGAAAACGACCCGCCCTCCATCGGTGAAGTTGTTGCAAACTCTGAAAGTGAATGTGCGCGGCGCGAATGCGAGAGTCACACTTTGAAAACGGCCCGCCCCCCATGCGCTGAATTGTTGCGAACCTCAAGCTTCAGGATCATAGATGGTGAGTCATTCTCCAGCGAAGCGCCGTTCCCCCTCCCCTGCCCCGGGGGGGGCTTCGGATTGCTTCATGCTCGTCGTGTCGCGACGTGTCGTGTCGTGGCCTTCCCTGCCCCTCACCCCTCCCTGGCAGCCGTGGCCTCCGGCCTCCTGGGGTCTCCTGGCCTCCCTGGCCTCCCCTGGCTCCTCCTGGTCCAGGATGCCCCCCCGCCCCCCCCCCCCCGGGCTTCGGATCCTGCTTTCTTCTCTCGCGCAACTGCGTTCTAGAGGTCGGACTTCCCCCTCGGTCGCTGAAAGTGGGTATTTTTGGATTCCCAGAGTCCTCTCTACTTTAAGCGCGCCTTCCTACTTCAATGATCGAGTGACTTCACCTTTTCTGTCCTCCTTAGACGGCGGACGGAACCCAATCTACTTTCAACGCCTTCCTGCTTCATGTTCCTACCTATTTCTTCCGACTGATGCGCGGTGATTTCCGTCCAGTCCTGGGTGGTAGCGCTGGCCTCCAGCCTCCCTGGCCACCGTTTCATCTGCACGGCCTCAGTGGAGCGTCTGACGCCAAAGACGCATCGAGGAAAGGGCAGCCGTCTCGGTTGGGCGACGCATGCAGGCAAAAAATGCCGCCTGTGGCCAAAACGGCTCTGCCTAACTTGTCAGAGAGGTGCTCGCTCATGCGGACTCCACAGTCGCCTGGGCCCTCGGTCCGGCGACCTGTGGGGCCAGCGGGAAGGGACAGGGGCGGAGGGATCGAAGGCTGATGCCAGCCTCGTAAGCTTCCCTTGGCATCGCTCGGACGTGTGCATTTTTCCTTCGGCGAGGATCATCGAGGAGCATCCTTGATCATTTGGCGAAAAAACACGCACGAAACCGAAAAAAACACAGGGAATGGACGTCCGAGCGACGGGGAGTTCCCTGATCAGCAGCCCATGCAGCCGTTCAACGCAAGAGTCAACATGGTGTCGCCTACATCATTGCCCGACCATTTGATGCGCACGATCGGCATCCTGCCGATCAAGCCCAACGGCCGCATGCGGGGGGCGGTTTTCCGACAAGACCTATCGGCAACCCATGGATTGTTCTTCAAGATGTTTGATCACCCACATTCTGGCATGGAAGACGTGCAGACACACGGGTCAGTGGTCCGTCTCAATGCATTCCAATGTTAGTTGCCCGAATAGATGCAGGTCAAAAACATGGTGGGCTTGTTGTTGGCGAGAATTGGCATGGCAGTCGCACCGGATGCACGCGAAAGTCGCGTCTAGTTCGGCAACCCGCTTCGTCTTAGCCCACGGGGGAGCATCATTGATGGACCTTTCCGTGTTACCACCCTGGAGAGTGTTTTTGAAGCGCCGCGGGTCGTCGCTGACTACGGCAGTCTTGTCTTCGAGCGACGCGGCACTGAAGGAGGCAAAGGCCTCCGACTTGGACG